CCCCACAAAGTGCATATATTCTTGATTAGCATCTAGCCTAAATTGACCTAAGCATGTCCATCTGTCCGTCTATGTAATATCTGGTGTAAACATATTTTTGGCCGCTAAAATGACGCTATTGACTTCAAATTTGGCAAAAATATTGGAAGTTCTTGTCTGCAGGTTGGCATTCAAAATGAGACAAATCGCTCCAAGGACACGCCTACAGTGTCACGTAAACTGAGAACACTTCTGATTTTCAAAGGGAATGCAAAGTTGATTTTTTGCTCATTACTCTATAAATAAATAGCAAATAAATGTACAAAAATTTGAGCACATATTGTATGGACGAGGATGTAAAACCAGTATAAAAATGAAAAAAATTGACGGCGCATTCCCAATATTATAGTGTATCGAAAATTAATATTTATTTCAAAATCTTTATAAGGGGCAAAAACAAGCTTTAAAACTAGCCCCATAAAGCATGTAAATTCTTAGCCAGTCTTAAATTTGCAATCCACCTAAATATGTCCGTCTGTCTGCGCTGCTGTGTAGTATTTGTGATAAACATTCTATCGCTAGCAAAAATGAACATATCGCCGGCAAATTTGCAAAAGAATTTGGAAGTGACTTAGACTTTTCCAAAGCCACACCTACCACATGCCAATGTGATGTAAACTTTTATTTTGAAAATAGATTAAATCAGCCGCGTCCACTCCATATTACAGGCTATGGAAATTTAGTTCTTGTACTTTTTTTTGGTTTTTTTTTTTTTTTGTATGATAACTTGATGTAAAAATATAAATAAAAATACAAAATACAAAATATGTAATATGTAATATATAATATATTATATAATGTAAACTTACACGCAAAACGAGATATGAAATAATTTGTTATTGTGCTTCAATGCATGAAACATCTATGCGTCCACATTTTTCTTTACCCGTATTCAAGGTATTCAAGTAAACGCCGAACATTCGCAATCTTATTTCTGCGTTATCTACGATTACCTATATACATAAGATTCTGTACATTTATAGGCCATAGAGACAGGTTTAAATTTCTTACACGATTGTTTAAACTTTTTGGGACATTTTCTCAATAGAAGTAAATAAATCGATACGGAATCTCAAGATAGATCTCTGAATCTCCCGACAAGAAAAACAAAAAAAAAAAAAAGAAGCAGAACTATCACAGATAAAAACTTGTGCAAAATTTAAATTGCAGTAAGTAGAAGAATTTAAATAGTAGGACGAATTTGTTTGTTTGATAAGAAGGTAAGAAAGAGTAAAACAAATATCTAACCAGACATACGTATATAGCATTTATTGAGTGAAATATCAAGAGGAAAAACTTTTGGCTTTTAATGTTTTATATACGTAGGCGAATGGATGATGGGTGAATGTGTAGGTTGGTAGTTGCGTTTATATGCAATAGTTGACGTAGACTTTTACATTTTTCAACATTTTATTTCAATTTAATTCCACCAGCGGGAATTGTTTGAAAAGTATTCGACACTCGGCTTTTGATAATGATGATGATGACGGGGTAATGGAATGGTGAGTGTGTGTGTGTGTGGCTGTGTGTGTCTGTGTTAGCACCGTTAATACAATTGTCGTCTAATGACAAAAGTTTACTTTGTCGCAGAAATTTTGTGGTATTGTAAGTTGACTGTGGCAGTTTTAAATTGAGTTTTAATTGTTCGAAAAATTAACAGTTAAGCTACCGAACCATACGGACAGGATATTAAAATATCACAGTAAACAAGCAAGAGAGCCATGCTCGCCTTGGGATGAATATTGCATATGTATGTAAATATTAAACCGTTTCAATTAAAGGGAAAATAAATGTGTACGTGAAAGGAGAGTCCGTAGGAGAATGTTTCTCTTTTCTTTTATTCTTTAATTAGAAGCCTGCTTTTCAGATTAGCCGGTACCACGAAAATATGTACATATTCGTATATACATATCTGTCGCTTCGATTTGTAATTTAGTTTTTTTTTCAAGACCAAAGAGGGATAAAAAAGTTACATATAAGGTAAGAGGAGTACAGTATGCAGGAATAACTTTGCTTCTCTTATGTATGATATGGTTAACGTCTCGATAATGTGTGGCAATGTAATCAGAGATTCAGTCCTACGATTTGTTATAGTGCGAATAACGGACAAATAGCTAGATAGATATTGTTACCTTTGATTCGAGTTTTGTTTTTTTTTTTTTTTTTTTTTTTTTTTGGGTTAGCGTTTCTTCTCCAAAAGCTGAGTTCATTTTAAGATTTTCAGATTACATTCAAGAAACAAAATAAACTTGTAAATGAGTTACTAAGTATTTACTTAGTGATGTTGTAGTTGCTAATGCAATCAAGCATATAAAATGGCAATAACAACAACAACGGCAAGAACAATAATGACAAAAAGGCATCTAATATTACTCTGCATAATTATTAAAAAAATAACGTTTTCATCATCAGCGTCTAGACTTGAGACTGATGTTTATATGAGTGCATATGCGCTAGTATTATGCATTCATATATATATATATATATACACATATATGGATATACATATATATGGATGTTAAGTTTTTGTATGATTGCGTTCTGAATGCGTACATATTTCGCTTTGGAAACGTGTGGAGTTAATTGAATGTACGAAATGAGGTAGACACACGCTCGCAGTTGGATGGGTGGGTTGGCTGCAATGACTGTATGCATATATAACGATGCACATATGTATAAGTGAATGTTTGCCTGTTCATGGTTCAATAAGAATTCTTGTGTTAAATTTAATGAACATACAAACATATGCACATATTGTATATGCATGCGTTTTGGTGTCATTAGTTTTAAGGAAGCAATATGGCGCCAGCAGGTTGTTGAGCATATTCTAAAGTGAACTACATTAACTGACATATAGATATGTATACGTATGCATATGTATGATTATGAACATATATGTATGTATGCTTGAGAAAATTTAAATAAATACTTGGATACCTACGCATTGCATATATAGTGCGAATAGTGGCACGCATGCATGCTTTTCTAAGCGTACTTACATATAATTTTTTATGAAAATTTGTTTTTCTTTTCTTTTTTTTTTTGCAAATTGAATTTCTTTCTTGCTATCGTCTTTCAAAGCGCCACAAAAAATCGAGAAATTGTCGGTTGTAATGTCAATTGCAGCTACAACTTAACGCTTAGCTTTATCAATTTCCTGGCGAGCCATGACAATACTCATAGATTAAATCTTTACCCCTAGGCTATATGCAATCACCAATCGTTTTCAAAATTCATCACTTCCTATTCAATAATAGTACCAGTAACAGCAATAAAAAAAGGCAAAAACACATTTTAAAATTATAAATCTTTTAATCTCCGCTAAATTTAAGTGTTTTCTAGTTGACCAGCCATAGCAAAATAATTGATGTTCAAACAGCCAAGAAGCAGTTGATACACAAAACGTAAACCCCGAAGGTCAGGCGAGGAGTAAGGCAAAAACTTAACAACTAATCGAGGAATAAATCGAAAGAAAAGAAAAAAGAAAAAACTAATCCTTCCTAATGCAACAAGAGCATTGAAAATAGAATAATGTTAATATGCGATCACAGAAGAGAGCAGAGACTTCATTTCAACGAAGACGTATCGAAATTGAGGAAAAAAAAAGGAAAAACGATCTATGAAAGGCAGATAGACAGGTGGACAGATGAACAGACGAACAGATGCTATACCATAGAATATGCATTCAAATGTTTCTGCATTTATCTGCTATCTTTCATTCCTTCGAACAACAGATGTGTTCTCAGTTTACGTGGCACTGTAGGGGTGTCCGTGGAGCGATTTGGCTCATTTTCAATACCAACCTGCGTGCGAGAACTCCCAATGTTTTTGCCAAATTTGAAGTTGATTGCTTCAATTTGTGCGGCCGGGAGAAGTTTACAACGGACATTACGCAGACGAACAGACAAACAGACGAATTTAGTATTTGATGCTGATCAAGAATATATACAGTTTGTGGGGCCTCTGATGCTTTCTGCTGGGCGTTGGAAACGTTTTGACAAAATGAATACATCCCTTATCCTCCAATGATGGGTGTAAAAAAAAAATCGTAATCCTTTGTGAAAATTAAAGATTTGGTTAATAAGCAACATGATGCCGCCCTTATTCTCTCAATTATGCAAATACGTTTCCCAATTTGCTATATGGAATGCCCATGAAAGTGTGAATAGTGAGAGAGAGAAAGAGAAAGAGAGAAAGAGAAAGAGAAAGAGAGAGAGAGAGAGAGAGAGAGAGAGCGTAATTTATTTTCGTTCGCTTCTCATTACGATATATGTGATTGTAATGCTTTCTTCTTCAGGCAATTGATGTCAAATCGTAGGAGCGGGGAACTAGACTAGTAAGTCCGAATGAAAAGAACCTCTACAAACCCATCCACAATAAACAATAAACACTAGTCTATTTTGACCATCAGGAGATCATCTACGTACTGGCTAGCTGAACTTAGGACGAAAATTTCCGACCTGCTGAATTTGAACTTGTAGCCTGACATTTATTTATTACTCTGTATATTATGTAGATAACTTAGATTAAATGCTTGTCTGTATTGAGCATTCGGTCATAATTGAGATTTGAACCGGCCGACCATTGAGTTGTTAGTCGCGATCCTTTGCCTACTCGGCTACTTCTGTGGAAAAGAAACCCGATATTCTTGCTAGTTATACTAATTGCGATCAAAATGTGCTGAAGCAGATTGAAAAACGAAGAACGAAAATTGAAAAGGTTGAAAACTACTGTTTAGAGAATTTGAATTCAGACGTAATCACGTAGCCATGAAATTTATTTTCCATTAATTTTTCAATTTCATGTCAATTGTTCAAACTTTTTATATCTTTGAATACGAAAATCAATAATACTAATAATAATAATAATAACAATTATAATAGTGATAATAATAGCGGTAGCGTTAATAAAAACCCGTAACTTGGGCTAGAAAAGTTCGCAAATCGCTTTTACAAATTGTGATCATATATTTTGTGATTTTTATTTCGACTGAACATTTTCGGATTAATCGACTTGTAGTAACATGTCAATGAGAGTTGGAAAGATATGTCAGAGCGAAATGGCGGTAAGTGCACGCCGCCCTTGGCCGCAATTAGTTTTGTTTTTTTCGTGTAATACAATATAAGTAAAATTATTTCGATTTTATTAGATTCATAACCGGAAAGTAGTTCTTGGTACGAATGATGCCTCATCAGATGCGTCACGTATTAGTTTAGGCTCAAGACATTCGACGCGCTTTACATTCCACGAGGTTTTGCAGCGTCAAATATTAAAGGCCCAAGAAATGCGAGCACAATTCCATGTATATGATTATGTGTGTGGAGAGTCAATGGATGTTACACCGAAACCGATTACGGTGACTCTTGATAGGCGGCCTCATCCTTTACTTGAAAGAAGAGCCCTGCAAAGAATTGGCGACGACTCGGGAAGTTTTCGCAGTTTACGTAGCGGTACCAGTTCATTAGTGCGCGGTAAATCCGGTCGGGCATTGGGAATAAAAATGTCCATTGATGATATTATTATTGGGGTGAATATTACTATAGTCTCGATAATTGCAGACGTATAGCGTTTATAATTGCAGATTGGTAGTGATCGTTTATTTTTTCAATTGCACGGCTCCACACTTTCACTTCCATCGTTTAGTTCAGATGAATCTTCGTCGGAGACAGATGACGCAACCGATCTTATATCTCAGATGACTATCCATCAATTACCATTTATAAGCGTTCGCCTTACAAAGACACACTTATTTCAACTCTATAATCAACTCAGCATAACGGCAATGAAAAACACGGACGATGGCGAAGCAGTTGAAAAAGATAATAGAACCTATGATTATTTGACTATTGGCCGCGGAAGAGTGCGTCGCCGTTCAGATGCCGAATGTCAAACTTTGATGACATTAAAGAAAAGTCGTGACATCAACACAACCACAGTCACAACGACCAATACGGGTACGTTTGTATCGTATTATGAAATGTATGATACATACGAGGTGTTGGATAAATTTCGTTCATCGTGGGAAATAAAGTACGATTTTGACAAAAATGAACGGAATCGCATACAAAAATTGACATTAGAAGAACAATTCCCGGCCATTAGTCGTCTACGAGCTTTTGATTTAGCTACTATGATAGTTATGCGCGTGTTGGCGGGTAACGAACATGGAGAAGCACAGAAACGTTTCCGTAAAATGAATTGCGTTGACCGTATGGTCAAGAAAATCGATTACAATTACTCATTGGACCCATTATTTGTGATATATCCGTTTGCAACCGATGTACGACGAGCGGTTTGTGATATTAGTTTTTGTTACAGTAATAGTGATATTTTAGCTGTTGCTTATGGAATTTATTCATATTCGGCAGCGAAATTGCCTAAAACAGGAGTTGTGTGCGTATGGAGCATAAAGAATCCCTGCGATCCGGAACGTTATTTTTACTATGATTATCCGGTAGGGTCAGTTGAGTTTTCACCTTACAGAAGCACATTGCTGGCCATAGGTCTTTATGATGGTACGGTTCAAGTGCGGGATCTAACAAGCGCTCATGGTCCACTTGTGGCTGTATCGGAACGCAGCACTTCACCTGGCGTAGATCCTGTATTGGCTATTAAATGGATTCAACAACCTAAATCCGATGAGAGTCATGATATCGATCCGATTCTATCCTTATCGCAAGACGGTTCAGTTACCAAATTTAATATAATTAATAGCCCATATTTGGTCGGTTTCAAACAGGCTTTATTGGAACGCGTTGAGGGTACGCCCGAAGGTATACCGTTTAAGGAGCCACCATCAGTTGAGCATCAGGCTAATCGACGGCCTCAAGGCCTATGCATTACAAAGCATCCTTTAGAAAAGGATATTTTTTATGTTTTAACGGACGAGGGATGTTTGCACAAGTGCTCAACCAATTATCAAAATTTATATTTAGAACTCGTGAAAACGCACGTAGGCGCTGTAAATAGCATGGACTTCTCACCGTGGTCCCCAAAATTGTTCTTAACATGCGGAAATGATTGGTAAGTATACAATATGAATTCTACACGTATCAAAAAAGAAAAAAAGTATTAACAGCAACAATTTGAAGGTGTATACGCATATGGATGGATGGAATTTTGACGCCGTTAATTACTTTAAAAAATTTATTTGGACCCTATCAATGGGCCGCATGGAGTCGTACACATTCCACTATCATTATTGGACTTAATCGTAAGCATCTTGAGATATGGGATATAAGACGTACAATATTAAAACCGATGTCCACATCGTTTTTAGAAAGCTCTTTTAATACCACGGCCAAGTGAGTACAATTTCGACCAAATGCCGGCGACGCTTATATTCATAATATTCATTAAATAACATTTTCGATTTCAATGTAGATTTTCACTTGATGGCTACTGCATTGCCATCGGCAATGAGAAGGGAAACGTTCATATCTGTGCTTTTGACGGTATGCCTTTTCCATCATATTTTCAATACGACACCTTAGAGAAAGCCATACATAAAGCACTCATCTCCAATAATGATCTTTTAATTGAATTGAAAAGTGTCGGATATTTCGGTTACCCGAACAAAGGATTTGTTATGCCTCCTTAAATAAATTCACCAGTCATTCCTTTATAATCCAATATATATTTATTTTTGTTTTTTTAGTTTTGTTACGTTATTATAAAATGATTTTGTATATGAATGGATGAACTGAGAATACATAAATGATCATCTTGTAGCACTTTCGCTATTCTTTCCGGTTTCGTTTTCAGTCTTGCAACATTTACACACAACGTATTAATGTAATTTCATAAATTTAATATGCACTTCAAAACCGTTGCATTATTACTTTGCATTCAAATTTCGATAATTATATAATCTAAACTATGATTATATATTGTATGATTTTCGGGTTGTACAAGAGAACAACATATGATTTATGACTTAGAAGTTGTTATAATCTGCAAACTATTAAACATTTGACGTACGTTAGCGCCGTTAGCATTGGAAATCAAAAAATAAAATTTAATTGTTTTTGTTTTCTAGAACTTTCCAAACTGCGTAAAACGATTTTTACATCTTTACATACGATCCCTACTTCTATTAGATACGATTAAGATTCGTTTCTCTAACAAAGATAAATTAAACGTAAGACTTGAAGGACTGATCTGTAGTGGCAAAGAAAGAGAAATTTCCTTAAAATACAAAACATAAATAAATGCTGTCTATAAAGTTACAACCATCCATCCGTTACCAGAACGTTCATATTCACAAAGTAAAGCCACTCAGACAAAAGTCCTCCAGACTGTTAAACTAGACGATGATGACGACAACGACAACGACAACGACAACGACGATGACGATGACGATGACGACGGCGACGACGACGACGACGACGACGACGACAGGAGCTAAAAGCAATAACAAGGGAAAAGAATGAAAACAACCACACTTTTCGGTATAAGAAAAGAAACCGACAAATACAACAAAAAAAAAAAAAGCAGAAGAAGAAAATTCAGGAAGTTCGACATGAAAACAATGACGAAGTTGATGAAGATGCCAGCAAAGCTAAAGCGATGATAACTATGACAACAGAGTGGTGCTGTATAGTACACATTTAAGCATTTTGCACAAACACATGAAAATAATCAAATACGCAATACATACGTACAGGCGTTTGGGAGTATGTAAGTTGCGCGTGAATAACCCAAGTTTGCACAAAAATGCAAGCACTTAAGCGGAAATATAACTTCTAGAGACTCTCTCTTTCTCTCAAACACACACATACACTCACATAATGCATATATACGCGAACATATAGTAAAAAGTATAAACGAGCATCTTTACACAAAGTCATAATAAATGAAAATTTGCTACAACAATAACAACAACGAAAAAGTTTAGCGCAAACAAACAAAAGGAAAGGAAAAAGAGGAGCAAAGAGCATCTAAAGAAGAAGAAGAAGAAGAAGAAGAAGAAGAAAAAAGTCTGAGAGAATGGAGAAGAAAAAGAAAACAGCAGTAGAAGTGTCAGCAACAGAAACACCGACGCTAGTAGCAAGATACAACAAGAGACAGTTACTATGAACTAAACTAATGACTGCGCGTATATGACGAGAGAAAAAGCATTTACCACCCGTCCGAAACATCGGCGAATCCTATGAAATTGTTGTGATCTGTGCTTGAAATTAAATGCAGGCTAATTAGACAGATATACACAAAAACCAACAAAACAAAAAAATGAATAATACTTTGATTTTTATGCAAAATGATATTAAGCCGCACATAACGTAAAATAAAAACGATACTTAAATGCTGTCGATATATGCATAGTTTGCGTTTTATGAAAATGTTTCAAATATACATTTACATTATAATTATATGCACGATATATGTATATATATATATATATGAGGTATATATGTATTTAAAGACAAAAGTGAAGTAAAGTAAATCTGATGTCAAGCTTATTGGTACTATATATATATAGTACTATTGTATATGGTACTAATCAAATCGATTCGATCGGGACATTCCTTCTTGGCAGAAAATTTAATAGGGGAGTAATTTATGATAAATGTCTTTAAATCGAAGAATCAATCTTTCGTAAGTGATTTGTAGATTTTTGTCCGTTAAGTAAGCTTAAAACAATTAAATGACGTCAATTATTTATGAAGATATTTCATATATAGGATTAGTTTTGTTAATCTATTTGCAAAATATTCAAGCTACTTGAAGTCTGAGTCGATTTAGTCGTGTTAGCTTGCTGGACCATCTATTCACCTCTCACGGTTGCAAATGGTAAGTAGTAAAATATTGTCCTTATTCTGTTGGTTGTTGTCGGGACAAAACTAGAAAAAAGAAATTTATTTTTTAAGGCTTGGATGTACTTCCCAAAATTCGGCCCGAACAGCATTTGCCCCATTCTTCACGCTATACGAAAATTTTGAAATTTCATTCTATTATAACAAATGTACTACACTGTAGTAGGCTACAGGTATTCATTCATATAACCCTTTTTTAAAATGAGTCGGATCAGAATAATTTTCAGTAGCGTTTGTCCTTAAAACAAAATACGCCGGTTTACCAAATTCCAGCAAAGTTGCGAAAGATAAGACGGACAGACGGTTAGCCGGACAGACAAGGCTAGATCAGTTCAGAAAGTGATTGCGAATCGAGTGGTATGACAACGGATAGAATTATCTCAAGATCATCTGGGTGTAGCATATCTCCGCGATAACTTAATATAACCTTGTTTCACAACTGGTGTAGGGTATAAATATACAATGCGATATTATCCATGAGCATAAAAAGAATTGAAAGAATTTTTGTTTTCGTTCCTATGCGTTCTGCGTGTTTTGTACTAGAGTTAGCCGCCATGTGAAACCGTTGTTAGACAGATTTGTCTTTCTTACTTTTAAAAGTAGTAGGTTTCTCTATAAATATGTATAATTTTGTATTGTTGCGAGAAAATATCAATAATGAACGAGTTAGATTCCCAAATCGATTAGGATTTCTAATCTCTATTCCTGAATGCAATGAATTGTTTTGTCCCCATGACTCGAGTGAAAAGTGAAAATCCGTTCATTTGATCGCATCGGTAGTTGTCTACTGAGATATTATAATTAAAAATATTATATTTATTATCCCAAAGAAATAAATTGCTGGATCAAAGTTAGATGAGCACTAGCAACCAAAACTGTTGGCAAAAATTTCACTTGAAAAAAGAAAAACAATAAAAACGAGTAAAAATATCATAGGGGAAAGCGGTCCACCATTAAATACCTTACAGCGTTGCGCTTATAACAGTTATGCTTATGAAGGAACTATGAAGGGATATGACGGGATAAGGTCTTATATGGGGACTGATCGAAAAATTGTTCTGATGCGAACCATTTCGAATAATATGCGTCCTTGGACCAACATATGCCACTGCACTAAATTTCATTAAAGATTGCGACCTGCAGCTTGAACACACAATTTACATGGACAGATATTACAGAGATTACACGGACAGATGGACAGACAGGCTTAGATAAATACAAATTATGATTTTGAATCGATCTGTATAATAAAAAGTAGGTCTATCTTAAGCCCTTCTCCGTTTTACATACGTCCGCGCTAACTTAATATACCCTCTACCACAAATGGTGTGGCGTATAAAAATAAATAGTGTCGCTGACACCATTGTTGACTTATTCCTGACAATTTTCGCTATAAATTTTTATCCAGGATACCTTGGGCATTGCGTTGTCCGAAATTAATGCTGAGGCAGCTGCAAACTTGGCTGTTTCATCGGCTTTTTCATTTTGCAAGAGAACATAATGACTCGGTTTACGTAACAAAAATTGTAATCTTGTCTCCATAACTAGCGATGATAATCCTCATTTCCATTTGGAGTCGAACTAATTTCAGATCAATAGCCTTTATGATCAATAGACTTTCGATAATGATAATTGTTTCGGGCAGTGTTATTGTATGACAGTTTACGGCCGGAAAGGTCTATTCAACTTGTACTTATTCGTCAAAAAAAAAAAGTTTTGTATCCGGCAGCACTTGGCAACATCTCCTGTGTGAGTGGATACCATGGCATTACTTTTTTCATAATTTTGTACAAAACTTGGCACTAACATCTCCGACACAAGTGACACGTCTGCAACAAAAATTCCGCAATTTTAAAACCAATCTGTACTTTAAAAAGAAGAAGAAGAAAATCAACCAGAAATTATTATACTTTTACTAATTGTCCGTGAATCTATAAAAAGATTTTGCAAATATTTGATTTTAATCTTAGTTTTAAGTGATCGGAGCGGATTTCTATCTCTTCTCTTAGACAACGTATTGTAGATCGTGAATATAGTTTAGATAAATGGACAGATGAACTGACATTAGCAAAATGTTTCTTATATTTGCTTTACAAAATTCTCACCGGAGATGTTAAGTGAAAGTGAAATCGATCTGATGGCACTGATAGCCTAACTAACGTTGTTGATGAATTGTTGCCCGCCCAGTGATAGTAGGATTTTTCTTTACTTTTATGAAATTTTCTAATTACTAAAGTAAATACAAAATTCGTACGTTACATACATATGGTATATGTGTATACATTTGTGTATATATATTTTTTTTATTATATATTATTATTTCCTTTTAACTTATGGCAGCCTAAGACATCAGCTTCTTTTGTATTATATACATGCTGATATTTATTTTTAAAAACACATGAGCCTAAAAAATAAGAAAATATAGACAAACGCGATGGAAAAAACGGAATAGTTCTTTACAAGAATCTTTCATTCAGTTGATAGAGCGACGGCCGTGTGTTCAAACATGTGCGTAAATTCTTTTGAGAATTGTAATTAAATTTAGCTAAAATAATATACACATGCATATGAATACATACATATATATATATTTATATATATAAAAATGTATACATATATATATATATATATATGTATGTATTTTTGCCGGTGTAAGTGAAAGCAAAAGTGTAAATATTATTGTAAAAGGAATGAAAGAAAAATGCAATGAAAACGAAAATTTACCTTGAACGTCATTAGACGAAACTGTAAAGTAAAAAGAGCCGATTGTAAGGCAATCACTTCT